CAACTCAAAACATTTGGGCAAATTTCGAATTACTTTTGAACAAATTCTGGTAAGGCATGCATGGATCAGAGGGGATCTGGATCCCTGCGATATTCAACTTTATTATTACCCCACCCCCCAACGAAGTTTGGGGGTATATAGGAATCAGCTTGTCCGTCTGTCCATCTGTCTGTGCAAAAGTGTCCGGTCCATATCTTCCTTTATGAGGAACATTAGAATCTACTACTCCACAGAAAGATTGCCCATGACCTTAGGGTGTGTCATGACCTTGACCCAAGGTCATTTGGGGAAGTTCAAGGTCACTGAAAAAAAAAATTAATTCCTGTCCGGTCCACATCTTTCTTACGGATAAACTTGGTATGGTCTTATTTCAGACAAAGATTTCTCATGACCTAAGATTGTGTCATAACCTTGACCCAAGGTCATTTAGGGAAGTTCAAGGTCACTGAAAAAAAGTTTCATAATTCGTGGCCAGTCCATACCTTTCTTATGGATAAACTTGGTAGGTTCTCATTTCACACAAAGACTGCCCATGCAATAAGAGTGTGTCATGACCTTAGGCCAAGGACATTTGTGGAAGTTCAAGGTCACTGGAAGAAATATTTCATAATTTGTGTCCTGTCCATATCTTTTTTATGGATTAACTTGGTATGTTCTTATTTCACACAGATATTGCCCATGACCTAAGATTGTGTCATGATCTTGAGCCAAGGTCCTTTAGGGAAGTTAAAGGTCACTAAAAAAAATTGATAATTCGTGTCCAGTTGAGATCTTTCTTATGGATAAACTTGGTATGTTCTCATTTCACACAAAGACTGCCCATGACTTAAGGGTGCGTCATGACCTTGAACCAAGGTCATTTTGGGAAGTTCAAGGTCATTGAAGAAAAATTTCATAATTCGTGTCCGCTCTATATCTTTCTTATGGATGAACTTGGTAGGTTCTTATTTCACACAAAGATTGCTCATGACCTAAGAGTGTGTCATGACCTTGACGCAAAATCATTTGGGGAAGTTCAAAGCAACTTGAAGAAAATTTTTTATTATTTGTGTCTGGTCCATATATTTTTTATGGCTAAACCTCAATCTACTACTTCACACAAACCTTGCTTATTATCTGATTTTCTGTCAAGACGTTGATCCAAGGTCATTAATGCAAGGCCAAGGTCACTGACAGAAAAAGTTCATAATTCGTGTCTGGTCCGTATATTGTTAGTCTGTTTTTTATTATAAGGATGAGCCTTCGTTTCATTTATGAAAATATTATGAGAAATTACATTTGCATTAAAAATGTTTTAGCATTTCACTTATCTCTTAGATCCATTAAATATTCATGATTTAACACCTCTGAAAAACCAAGCAGGGGAATTTAGTCTCGTTCGGACAGTTCTAGTTTAAACTGACACAGTGATTTGAGCCCATCGCCTCCTAGGGAAATTTTCTGGATGCACCTAACAAAAAAAATTCAATTGGGCTCGGGCTGTCGACCTGAATATAAACGATAATGGGTAATTCATTAAGAAAATCGCTGTCATTTGAGTGTTTTAATGCAGAGAGAGCATACTTTTGTGATACATGTATTGGAATACAATTAGCCATGTCAGTTACAGCTAATGAAAGTTTGACCGCAAATTTCATATCCCTAATTTGAGAAAAACGAACGATTCTTTTTTTTCCTGATTATTTATAAATATGTGTTATTATAGGCATAAATGTAAAAATATCCTTAAACATTATTCTTATACACTTTAGCTAAAGCTTTTTCATACTCGTTAGTCATATTCTGTCAATAACAAATAAAAGCCGTTTGTCTGCACTTTAACCATCCCTGATGTTAGGAAAAAAGTGCGAAAGTCTACATTTTCTCGAGAATTTGCAGCATGTCTATTTTCAAACATGTGTTATTATATATAGAAACAGAAACCTCTGCTTCTCATTCTGTATTTCATATATGCTTTCTTTTACTTGTTGGTCACTGAATGCCAATAGCAGTAAAAAACAGATAGTCAGCAATTGTTCATCCAAAATGTGAGAAAAAAAGTAGAAATAAATTACATTTTCCCGATAATTTACAGTATGTCTATTTTTAAACTCATGTTACTATAAATAGAAATGAAAACCTCTGCTTCTCATTCTGTATTTGATATAAGGCTTTCTTTTACTTGTTGGTCACCATATGCCAATAGCAGTTAAAAACAGATAGTCAGCAATTATGCATCCAAAATTTTAGAAAAAAGTACAAAAATGACATTTTTCCAATAGTTTACAGTACGTCTATTTTTGAACTCATGTTACTATAAATAGAAATGGAAACCTCTGCTTCTCATTCTGTTTTTGATATAATGCTTTCTTTTACTTGTTGGTCACTGAATGCCAATAGCAGTAAAAAACAGATAGTCAGCAATTGTTCATCCAAAATGTGAGAAAAAAAGTAGAAATAAACTACATTTTCCCGATAATTTACAGTATGTCTATTTTTAAACTCATGTTACTATAAATAGAAATGAAAACCTCTGCTTCTCATTCTGTATTTGATATAAGGCTTTCTTTTACTTGTTGGTCACCATATGCCAATAGCAGTTAAAAACAGATAGTCAGCAATTATGCATCCAAAATTTTAGAAAAAAGTACAAAAATGACATTTTTCCAATAGTTTACAGTACGTCTATTTTTGAACTCATGTTACTATAAATAGAAATGGAAACCTCTGCTTCTCATTCTGTTTTTGATATAATGCTTTCTTTTACTTGTTGGTCACTGAATGCCAATAGCAGTAAAAAACAGATAGTCAGCAATTGTTCATCCAAAATGTGAGAAAAAAAGTAGAAATAAACTACATTTTCCCGATAATTTACAGTATGTCTATTTTTAAACTCATGTTACTATAAATAGAAATGAGAACATCTGCTTCTCATTCTGTATTTGATATAAGGCTTTCTTTTACTTGTTGGTCACCATATGCCAATAGCAGTTAAAAACAGATAGTCAGCAATTATGCATCCAAAATTTTAGAAAAAAGTACAAAAATGACATTTTTCCAATAGTTTACAGTACGTCTATTTTTTAACTCATGTTACTATAAATAGAAATGGAAACCTCTGCTTCTCATTCTGTTTTTGATATAATGCTTTCTTTTACTTGTTGGTCACCATATTCCAAAAGCAGTTAAAAACAGATAGTCAGCAATTGTTCATCCAAAATGTGAGAAAAAAGTACAAAAAAACTACATTTTCCCGATATTTTGCAGTTCGTCTATTTTTAAACATGTGTTACTATAAATAGAAATGGAAACCACTGCTTCTGATTTCGTATTTGATATAAGACTTTCTTTTACTTGTTGGTCACCATATGCCAATAGCAGTTAAAAACAGATAGTCAGCAATTATTCATCCAAAATTTTAGAAAAAAGTACAAAAAACGACATTTTCCCGATATTTCGCATTATGTCTATTTTTAAACATGTGTTACTATAAATAGAAATGGAAACCTCTGCTTATCATGCTGCATTCCATTGAATGTTCTTTTGTTCTTGTCAGTCACATAATATCAGTTACATTTAATGACAGTAAGTTGGTAAATTTCCCGTCTCTAATTTGAGAATTGGTGGAAAATCAACATTAAACAGTTAATTTCATATGTGTCTATTTTTAGACATTTGTACTATTAATAGAGATGAGAGCCTGTCCTCAATAATTTGTGAGATATTATACTATTCCTTGTTCTTATTGATGAAATATTAGAAAGATCCATATTTTTATTATTTATGATTCAGTGGAGCTTCAAAATAATGGAAAATTGACATTTTTCATCATTTTATGAGACATGACCATATCAAGGCATTTGAAGCTATAAATAGAAAATGGAAATCCCTGAAAATAAGATGCATGGTAGTTATTGGTGTCCATTCTCTGACATTGGCATATTGACTTTAACAGTGTATTTCATAATTACCTAGCAATGGCATCTTAAACTCTGCCCAAATTTCATTTTTTGGATTTTTTTTAAATATGTCTATTTTTAGATACATGTTACTAAAAATAGCATTGAGATCCCACTCCAATTTTTTTATGAGGGGACACTACAAATACTGACGTTTGACGACACGCATATGATTTGAAAAATTTCCGTAGACAATTTTTTTCATTTAACCTTAAATTTCTCAAAAAATGCCAAATTTTTCCATTTTTCACATTTTGAGAAACTATGCTATTTTGCAGAACCGTTTTCTAAGAGTGGGGTCAATTCTGGAATAACTGGTTATATGCCCTGTATTCTTTAACAGTTGATGTTTTCTTATGATACAAAGATTTATATTTGAGTTCACTACATAAAGATAAAAATGCATTCATAATCCCTCAATTTTCATGTTTTTGTTTGGTCAAAAATGGCCGAAAATGGCCAAATTCAATGGATCCGTCTCCATGGCAACCGGGTGCACGTGGGAAACTTCTAACACCATATTTGCTGGTTTTCTACCAAGGTGCACCTGTGGTGCAAATTTCATCAAAATCGGAGATATGTCGTTTCCAAGATTTTTTGGTGCTTACAGAGAATGCATGTTAATTAATAAACTTTTTGAAAATTTCTCATTGGCAATCCTTTTCCACTATAAAATGCTTTAATATGATATCAGAGTATTGTGTACTTGACGGACATTTAAGGGTAGAGAATTTGGTCCTATTAGGGATTGAAATCCTTAAATATATGAATTATAATAGTATACCATTCTAAAGGCCAGTGAAAGTATAAACTACATGAAATAAATACCCAAAGTAGCGACAAAAAATCGTCAGTGTAAATCGAGGGTTTTTACAACGATTGGATCTGTAGCTCTCTGCTTCATCTGTCCGAATTTTCTCATATAGAGAGCTACAGTTCTGCAGCTACCGTACAATAAGCTCTCGCTCCTTGAGAATTTTTTTTATTTGATGCAAGTAAATAAATTGATAGATTAACTTTATTTGGAATTATAAATTGACAATATAAGACATCTGTTAACAGGTCAGAAGACTGGGTAAGAAGAAGAAGAGAATCGTTAAGGTGTCCCTCACCCTGATTGAGCCTCACAGCTCTATCCCTAAAAGGTAACTTCATGACTGAAGAGTTCTCACTAAGGGAGATAAGAAATTTATTGATAATTGGTTTCTTAATATCTTCATAGTTTGCTGATTCAGAATAATATGCTTCAATATGCAGGTTGACCCTGAATTACAATTCAAGAACAGTAATTTCTTATAACACCCAGGATTCAATCAATTCATGGTTTGTACATTATGCTTTTCTCAAGAACTGCATGTACTCTATGTTGTTGAAAAATATAAATAAATTAATGCATTGCAGTGCTTTCATAACTGATTATCTTTCAAGATTTTTAAAAGTAATTTTTTAAAAATACACGGTGCTCTTTTAGTGAATTATACATGTACTTGATTTCCAGAAAGTGTCAAAATGATACTGATATACATTTCGTATAATTTTTTTTGTTTTAAACACAGGAAAAGGGAAGCAGTTTAGAGGGTGAGGGTCGGGAAAGGTTCACTAAGGCTGTAGATACAGTTCACAACTACATGACCAAGAAGATATTGGGAACTTTGAGGAAAGAGGACACAGAATTCATGGAGAGTCTTCAAGGTAGTCATTCAGTCTATTCCACATTTTAGATAATGAATGATTCCATTGATCCTAGAAAGCGCATATGTTGTGTATACCGGTAGTCACAAAATGCAGCCATCATCTTGAATTTTATATTTAATTTTATTTTTCAGAAGAAAACATTTTGCCTCATGAAATTGCATGACTGATAAATATTTTTGATTTTTTTTTTCAGAGGAGGAAGAGGTTTGTGAGAATTCCCCGCCCCCATCACCTGTCCCCCACACTGTGTCTCCCCCGGCCTCACCGATGTCCAGTGTAGACAGTGGAGGCAGTCTTATATTTGTAGGCTCAGAGGAACCAGATCCTGAAATCACTAAAAGGTGTCTTCTTCAGTACATGTACTCATGTTGGGACAAAATGATTATTAAGTAGATGGTAAAAAAATGAGTAGGTTTTCCTCTTGGGTATATTTGCTTGTTTC